GACATGATCAGACCCTGGGGGCGGTGCTCTTGTCTCTGTCTTTCTCTGTCACTCAACCTCATGGGCACATACACTATCATGAATAAAGAAAAATTTAGGAAAAACAATTAGAATTCTATACTTTTTTAAAGAAGCTTAAACAGGGAGAAGAAAAAAAATATTGATCTGGCACCTATGAAAAATATTAAGAGTTTCAAGACCATGACGAGATCACTCAGTTCTACAAGGAGCAGTGCCTACATCATGTTCTGCTGAGCAGCCACCGATGTGCCCGGCCAGGCAGCAGGCGTCTAGCAGGTGCCTGGGGCACAGCCGCTGCGGGTGTGGCCATCCCACACAGGGCACCTTCCTCCTCCGCCTCTGTCCTCCCCCAGCTCCTTGGTGAGGAGTGTGCGGTTCCAGACACATGGGGGTGGCCCTCTGCGGTGGTGCCCCTGGTCCATCCGGCACCTTTAGCCTCCGTGTCCAGAGAGATGGCAGGGGACCCAGAAGGCCTTCCTCCCCCCACATTGGGATGGCCTGCAGTCACCAATGAAGGAGACAAAGCCCTGCCCTGAGGAGCTTCAGTAGTTCAGACACAGACAGGGACAAAGGAGCAAATGGCAGAGCCCGCCAGGTGGTGAGAAATGTTAAACATTAATAAAACGGGGAGAGGAGAGGGCACCAGGAGCAGACGGTGGGGGGGTGACATTTGAGTAGACCCGGCTAAATGAGGAAGCAAAGCATGAGGCCACCCGGGGTCGGGGGTCAGAGTCATGGGGGAGGGGCGGAGGGTCCAGCCATCAGACAGCCCGTGCCAAGACCCTGAGGCCACAAAGCACCTTCCAGTTCCCACCAATGCCCGCAGTCCTCTCTCTCCCGAGGCAACTTCACCCTCGGACTCTCTCACAGCCATTTCTGCCAAGTTTTAGGACCAAAGTCAGATTCTCCCATGATGCACCTGGGCAGAGGGCCCACAGAATCCTGGGGCCACTGTTCCCTGCCTGCCAAATGTAACATGGCTTCTCCAGACCTGGAAGTGCATCGGGGCTGGCATTCAGGGTGCTCGACTTGCCCCCCCGTGTGACATTGGGTAAGTCACCGGACTTCCTGAGCCCGTTCCCTCCTCCGCAGAGGGGGGCAGGCAGCACAGACCTCACGGGCCTGCAGGATTACACAGGACGCCTCTGAGCCACTCGGCAGCACGCCCGGCACATGTGCGTGGCCTTCACGGGCCTGCAGGATTACACACGACGCCTCTGAGCCACTCGGCAGCACGCCCGGCACATGTGCGTGGTTCTCACGTCACTCCTGCCTCTTAGAGAAGTGGGGAGAGGGACGGTCAGAGGACGAGGCCGTTTGAGGAATCTGGTTGTGCATCCTCTCATCAGAGGTGAGGGAACCGAGGTGCAGAGAAGGGCAGGAGCCTGCCGAAGATCACACAGATGTCAAACTTGGGCCATGCACCGCTCTCTGACCCTTCAGGGGATGTCACCACTGCCTAGAGGCAAGCAGCTTTCCCCTAAGCTTTTCTGCTCACCTGCCTGCAAAACCCGAGTCCAGAGACACAAAGGGAGCCTCAGAGGCTAGGCCAGGTCGGCCTGGCCCACAGCACCACCTAGTGGTCATTACTTCCGTAAGCGCCATGAGTCCCTGGAAAGGGGGTGAGCCCCAGTGATTGGGGCTCCTGGTTCCAACCCTCAGGAGCACCTCACCTACAAAGGTCTTTCACATCCTTCTAGATTTCACTGGAGAGGAACAAGGAAGACAGGAGGGAGCAGAGAAGAGGCACGTGCACACAGAAAGCAGATAGAAAAATAGTGACGCTCATAGACACGTGCTGGGGACAGAGAAAAAACAGAAAAGCAAGGAAAGGAAATGGAGGGAAAAGAGACAAAAATAATCAAGAAAGAGAAATAAAGAAATACGAAAAATAAAGAAGAGTATTCACACCGAGCCTAGTGCAGGAGAAGGGTAGGGGCTGCCCACTGTCCACTCAGACCCAGTCCCTGCTTCCATGCTGGCTCGGTCCCGGATATAGGCACTAGGAGCCAGCCTTGGGACCTGAAACCGGGTTGGCAGGACCTGGAGGGACGAGAATCCAGGGAACCCCTGGGCACGACACGGTCCCTGGCGCCACCTTCTGGAAAAAGAGGGAACCACACTCATCCCCTGGAATTAAACTTTGGGTCCCCAGAGGGGACTCCTGGGGCCCCAGCAATGCAGCCAGAGTAAAGTTTCCGTTGCCTGAAGGAGGAGAGTGAGGCTCTGAGAGATGGTGGCATCCTGGGAGACGCCCCCAGGGAGTACAGATGGCTGCCAATCAGGAAGGACGGTCACAGCTCCGGCCCTCCGGCGCTCCGCTCCTTCATGGAGGAGGATGGCAAGAACATAAAGCAGTGAAATGTTGCTAAGACCATCAAGTGGCCAACATGCCCAGCGCCTTTGGCCTCCGCAGTGGCCCATGACAAGATCCACGCCGAAGGGCCCGTTCTGTGTCTGCTCCGTCTGAGGCTCAGGGTCCGTCAGGTGACCGACACCCACTCTCATCCTGAAGAGGCGACGCAGAGGTTCTGACACTCAGCTGCAGGCTCTGCCCGCCCTGTGGCTCTGCACTGGCCAGCAGAGCCTGGTCTGTGACTCCTGGTCGCCAGGTCTTCCTGCACTAACATCACCATGGCAACCCAGCGCTGCAGATCTGGGCAGTGAAGAGAGGGGCAAGTCGGGTACGTGAGCCTGTGGGCCAGCTGGCCTGGGGCACCTGGCAGCTGGTGGCCGCCCACAGGTCCCTCAGCTCCTTAGACACCTGCTGTGCACCAGTGGGACCAGAGCCTCTGATTTCCAGGAGAAACTAGCAATCACAATTCAGGGTAAAAGCCGCCAGATCCTAAAATACAACCCAACATTATACGATAAAAACTACCGGGAAAGAAAAAAAGCACACGTCTGTGTCCAAGTTTTCGCCCGGGACCACCAGTATGAACGGCTGGTCTCTGCACACGTGTCCCCTGCTCAGGAGCCTTTCCCGCCTCCTGTACTTCGAGAAGCACGTCCCCAAGAGAAAAGCAGCCTCAGCGCCCACCCTGCGTCACAGGCGCAGCTCTGAGTCTCAGAAGGGATGAGACTTGCCCAAGGCCACAGAGACCCCGCTTCTCTGCTCTCATCCCACGCTGCCCCTCAGTCACCTCAGACTTCATTTCTCTTTGCAGGACCCAGGGTGGAGAACAGGGTCGAGCTGGCGCTTCACACAGCGTCTGGCTGCAGGAAGACACCTACCTCCCCATGGCCCAAGTGTAGACCCAGGTGACAGCTCTCCCAGCGATTCTTCCTGGATTCGATCCCTGGCCTTAGATAATCCCAAATAATCACTCCACCACGAGGCCCCAAATCCCACCAGGATTCGCCTCATCTGTCACACTACTGCGGCTTTGAGAGCTGTCATTGTAAGACACGGGGAATCTGGGAAAAGCCAATCGGAGCCTTCAGAACAGGGTGTGCGGCAGGTGAGACTGCAAGAGGAAGGGATTTCCTTCTGAGTGGTGGGCCTGGTGGGCACCAAGGCTCCCAAGGGTGGTGCTGGGAGGAGGGGAGGCGGGGGGGGG